GAGGGCCGCAGCGCCGCCGACCCCGACCCCACAGCAAAGCCCTCACTTCAGCCCCAAGCCCCCCACCTCAGCCCCACCATCCCTGACTGCGAATCCTTTGCCTCAGCCCCGCTGACCCTGACCCCAAACGCGGGGTCCCGCCTTGTCCCCAGAACCGGGAGGGTCCCTTATCCCCGTGGCTCACCTCCCAGTAGATGTCATCCTCAAAGCAGGTCTCGTCCGCAGGATCGCCCCAGATCGGCAGCTTCAGGATGCCCCCTGGAAGCAGCGAGGCAGGCCGTGAGGCAGGCGGTGTGGGGCAGGGGGCCCTCCCCATTGTAAGGAAGTGACCCCGAGTCAGTCTCCAGGACTCTTTGCTTGGGGCCTTCCCTGGTTTCCTCTCCCTGCAGACCAGATGCGTCCGATTTCTGGGCTCTCCCTCTTGTTCTAGCAGGGGGACTCTCAAAGGAGCAGGTCTGCATCATGCCGTACCAAGAGGGTGACTGCGTAGGGGAGCGGGTATTTCCTCTCCTGTTAGCCATGAACTCCACATGACTGCTGGCAGTGGGATCTAAACAGAGACCTGCTGCTTGCTCACAACCCTGAGCTATCCCAGAAGAGGCCATCCTAATCGGGAAGGTGGGAAGGAGGCAAGACAGGGTTTCTGCCATGCTCCAGCTGCCCACAGAGCGGCAGCAATGACATGTTGGATGGGAGAAGGTGGACAGAGTCCACCAGTCCAGGCAGCAAAGGGAACAAGCCGAGCACTCCCATGTTGCTGCTTAGCGCTGGACTAATGCAAACTCCAACTCCATCTCCCTGCAAGCAGAAACCAAGGCTGTGATCTGACCCACGCTAGAATGGATCCCTCTTTTCTCTAAACCCGTGCAAGTTTCCTGGGATTCACGAGTTCCCCTTTGCTACCCAGTTCCTTCCATCCCTGTGGGCTTTGGGACAGTCCTATCTACAGGGTGATGTGAGCAAGCTTGGGGTTGCTGTTTCTGCCAGGGGGTGCAACCCTCTCAACATAAGTAGGAAGGATCCATACGGCCAAAGGGAGGAGTACATGGTCATCCAGTTCAGCCACAGGCTGGACTCAACCTTCCCCTCTCCATGCGCCCCTCCTCCTTACCCACAAGGGCCCCCCCAGCCAAAGCCATGACGAGAGACACAACAATGCCGGCTGCCTGGAATCCTCCTTGGACACTGGGTGTCCGGGTCTTGTAGCTGCCAGTGAAGTCAAAGGCCTTGATGAACCTGCCGAGGACAGAAACGATGGGGATTGCTTGCAGCAGGAGACCTTCCCCAGCTGGAGGAAAGCTATGCTGAGCCAGGCTAGAGAAGCTGTGCGCCTTGCTCCCTCAGGACTCCCTCCTCTGCAGAGAACTAGAAGAATGTTGCAGTGGCACAAAACACTGCTCACTTCCTCTTCCTCTGGCCCCTGGCAAAGATTTAACTAGGAGGAGCAGCCCAAAATATAAACATTTCTTTTGGATTTCAGATCTTCAGCCTTCACCTGATCCCCAAAACAGCGCAGAGATAGAAAGAAGAACCGTCCCCCATCCGTTGTGCCCCAGAACACAGGGCACAATCCTCTAAGGACTGGGGTTATCGCTCATCTTTTGAGGACAGCAGAGGAGTGTTAGCTACAAGAGATTAGTCTTTCACAATTCAGCAAGCCCAAATTAGCCAGTCCAACGTGTGTTCTTGAGGAGGGAAAGGGACAATTCTGAACACAAAGTAAAGGCTATTAATTGATGCTGTCTTCCAGCCCAAGGAGCCCCAGAAAAAATCTGTTGTTATGGAAGAGTTTCAAGCTGTCTGCCTTACCCTTCCTTTCCATACACATCCTCCGTGGCTGCAGCTGCGGTGATGGCTCCCACAATGCCCCCAATAAGGCCCGGCATGCCATGGAGGTTGTGGATGCCACATGTGTCCTGGATGTGCAACCTGGATTCCAAAACAGGCTGAGGGGAAGGGAAGCAGAGAGAGATCAGGCATACGAGCACAATCCTGGAAAGGAATTACTTCCTTCCACGGAGGACTGGGATCAGCAGGGAAGGAAGAGTGGGTCCCATTCAAGAACTAAGGGCTTGCAGACAATGATTGAGCCAGGCTTAAACTGTAATGAAAACATATCCTGCAAATATTCTCCTATTGGGGCCTTCCTGAGAATTCTGAAGCAGTAGATGGAGTCAAATGAATCTCCAAAAGGGACAGTGGAAAGCAGGAACCCTCAATGGGAAATGAATCCATTCTTGGTCTCCTCAGCAGGACCAGGGCTGCAATTCCTCACACAGCACTCACCGTGAGGTAGACATACCCCACTGTGGACACGATGCCACAGATGAACCCAACAATGAGGGATCCATAAGGAGTCAGCATCATCTCTGCACTGGTGCCCACGGCCACGCCGCCAGCCAGCGTTGCATTCTGGATGTGAACCTGTAGAAGTAACTGTCCTGTCTTACCATCTTAGAGGGATCCCAATTGCTCAGGGATGGTGCAGATGGTAAAGCAGGAGAATCAGCTCTGAAAATGTTTCCAGAGGAAAGATCAGGGCCCATTTTCCTGCTTGCTGGGGAAAAACAAGAGGAGATGAACAGGCAGCCTCTGTTGTAGCATGGCTGCGCGTAGACTCCCACTCCCCATACCACACACGCTCTTTGCATCCACAAAGCTGGGTGAGGAGTTGTGATGAGATGGAAATTGTCTCACCCGTGTGTCACGCAGGCTCTGCTGTCACACAGTTGTGCACCCACACACATAACATGTACAAGTCAGCCCCCCTATTGCTCACAAGCTGCTGCACAGGCCCTGCTCAGCTTGCTGGAGAGTGCTGCCAAACACAGCTCTGCAACATGGCCATCAGAAGCTCTCCTGGCACAGCACGTCAGTGTGTGTGTGACCCTGCTCTGCCTTAGGTTCACCACGCACAGGGCATCACCCAGTTCTTTCCCTGCGCGCCTTGAGCACCACAGGACTCACTACCTGCCTGCTTATTCCAAATAACCTCTAGTTTTCTGGCATGGTGGCTGGTTGCACCATCGTGCCCTGAAATGCAGTACCTTTTCAGCAAATGAAAAGTGGCAATCCCTTTCTGGCCCCTTGATCAACCTAGTGATAAGTCCTCTGGGCAGCACAGGGCTCTTTGTCCCCAGCTTACCATGTCAAGCTTGCCTTTCTTCTGCAGCATGCTGGAGAAGGCCATTGTAGTGAGGACACAAGCAGCCAGTGAGCAGTACGTGTTAATGGCAGCCCGGTGCTGGGCATCTCCATGTTCAGAAACTGCTGAATTAAAACTGGGCCAGTACAGCCACAGATACAGGGTACCTGGTGGGATGGGGAGTAGGGGACAGAGAACAGGAAGGGAAAAGAAAGAATACAGGGATTGAAAAATCCCTAAAAGGAAGATCTTTCTGTGCACAGACAAGTTAAATCCTTGGGCTCACTAGTGCTGCTGCCCCAGTGCTGTTCTCTCCACTACGGGACCAGCATCAGTAGGCACTGGCAGAGGAGGGAAAGTGAAACACTTACTTGGCACCATCTCAACCCAAGCCCTGATCAAGGGCACTGGGTAGCTGTAAGTTTTAAAAAAGTGGGATAGAGTGTTCCTCAGCACCATGCCCTGGTTTCAGTCCAGTTTCTCCAGGGACACAGGAGGCACCAACTCACTGTAGCTGAGCAGTACACATATACCAACTCCACTGAGGCTGGGGTTGACTCACCAATCATAGCGAAGAGGTCAGAGTGGTACACAGAGCCCTGCTTGTCCTTACTCTGCTCCAAGTTGGGTCTGTACAGGATGCGTGTCACAGTCAGGCCAAAGTAGGCCCCAAAGGTGTGAATGGTCATGGAGCCACCTGCATCTTTAACCTACAGCCATGGAAAAACAGAGGTTCCCTTATGGAATCTCCTCCTTTCATTCTGGAGAAGAGATCTGGTTCACATCACGCTCAGCCTGTCTGCCCATTTGTCCTTCCAGTCTGCAATGGAAGGACATGGTCATGGGGAGAGGGGGGAGAGGGGGACACAAATGCTCTGTCTCTGCTATTTATCCTGCTCTTTTGGTCCTATGTATGGTCATGCCAATCATCTTAGCTCCCCCTTGGAAGGCATCAAGTCAGAAGGGAATTTCTGTCCCAATGACAGGCTGGTTGCAACGATATCCTTAAAACAAACTAGGATTGACCTTCTTCCATCACCAGCTGAAACAGGCACAAGACTGAGCATTACATATAGAGTAGTTTATCCCTTTTACCTCAGGCTTTTATACAAATATTGAAAAGCCACAAGTATTACAAGCAGAAACAGATAGGAGCAAGATCTCCTAGTGTCTGAAGCAATTCCCCTTGAACGCTGGCGATGATGCTGTGAACGCAGACTTCCTGTTGGCTTATGAGGGATTGGATCAAGGGTCCTTGCTGTCCCTGACTGCCCTGGCAGTGGGGAACGGGCTCGATATGGTGGTACCAGGCCACCTTTGACAAAGCAACCCCATAACCTCCCTCTGGATCTTTGTCCTCCTCTCCTCCTCTGTCTTATTGCCTCAAAAATTTGTGGTTGCTTTGCTTTTCTACTTTTTTAACTGCCTCAGGACTCCTACAGCTGCTGCAGTTCTCTCTCGCTAGCTGCATTTGCCCAGAGCTGGTGTCAGGAGCATCACCTACAGAGATGGGGTAAGAAGCAGCCACACAAGACAGCAAAGGCTGAACCCTGTGCATGGCTGCTCCCTGGACTCATTTACATAATGTAATGAGGCTAGAGGGAATCCCAGAGGGTATTTCAAAGGCACACAGTCAAGATAGTCATGATGCTGTCAGATGAGAATTCCTCTTTTCCCGCATCCGTGAAGGATCCCTGCCTCATGTTTCGAATTAGCAGGCTATTGGCTCTCCAAAGGCGCCTTTTCCTCCATGTGAAGACTATTTCAGGGTTCCCATTGCTCAGGCTCTCAGCTTCACCTCTACTTTCTCTCTGGTTCTACAAGTGCATTTCCATCCCTCATACCAGGAAAATGAAACTCTGATTGGCAATTAGAAATAAATAAATCTCTATTTCTCCAAAGGTTTTGCCCTCCTTTCCCTCATGCCAGGTTGGGTCCCATGTGTGCTCAGGTTTTCTGGGAGCCTCTTTGCTTTCCAGCCTCCACTTTGTCACCTGTTTTCCTTCTCCAAAGCCCATATTCCAGCAGGGGAAGCAGCCAAGAGGGAAATCTCTGACAGGCATGAAGAGAATGACTGGCCCTTTGTGTCAAGACTCCTCGGCTGCCTTGCGAGCCTCAGAAGAGGGACCCAGTGCTCTTGACTCATCAGGCTTGTGTGTAAAACCCTGGGAAACCTCCTTTCTCAGGGAAAGGAGGGGCCAGACCATAGGGGAGTGGCTCCTGCCGTCCCCATCCTTTCTAATTCTGTTACTTTTTCTGCCTGAATTATTGCGTTTCAAATGCTGATGAAGGCAAGGGCTTGGTGGAGCCATAGCAAAGGGAGACGTTTTGAAGAGACATGCAGAGAGGAAGAAATGGAACCAAGCTGGTGCTGCCTAAAGGAAAGCCTTACATGAAGCAGGTTGAGGAGGATGTACTCATTCACTGCAAAGAGCGTGACTTGAAATAAAGTCATGATGAGGAGCTGTATGGGGCTGGTTTTGCCCAGGATGGCCCCAAAGGCAACGCACACAGAGCCCACACAGAAATCAGCATTGATCAGGCTGAAAGAGAAGACAGGAAATTATGGTTTAACAAAGAAGTACTATTTCACAACTCACCCTCACCCACCCCCAGCTCAAGAGAATCCCAGCCCAGGACAAATAGGTGATTAGGAGACCCTGGATTTTCCACTGACCTTCCTCACATCTTGACATATTGTCCGGTTAAGGTGCTTTCCCCCAGATTATTTGAACAATAAAATGTAAGATCATATAAGTCATATAAGATGATACCCCAGAGCCCATATCTTTCCTTACTTCTCCACTCCAATGAGGATCTTTCCAGTCTTGAAAGAGTGGAACCAGCCTTGCATCAGGAGAGCCCACTGGATCCCAAAGGCAGCGAGGAGGAAATTGAAACCCACAGCTCCGAATCCATAACGCTTGAGGAACATCATGAGGAAGCCAAAGCCCACAAAGATCATCACATGGACGTCCTGGAAAGCTGTGCCAGGGGAAGGAATCATCAGCTCTGCAGGGAAAGGTAGGGCCGCGAATGCCATTTGAATCCAGCAGCGGAGAGAAACTAAGCGTGTCAATGACAGTAGCGAAGAAATTCGAGGGAAAAATGTGTGCGTTTGTCACACGCCCCCTCATTTCTAAGTTTGAAGAAGCTCAGCTTTTGGAAACTGGCTTTTGGTTAAGAGGTTCAGGCTTGAAAGCTAAAAATGCTTACTGAAAGCAGTTTGCAAGGGAAGATTGGAGGTTAAAGGAGTGGCAAACGAAAATATTTTTCTGTTTAAATTGTTTTTTGCTTTTTTGGAAAACTGAGAAAATATCAAGTAAAACGAATAGTGTCCAAGTTTTGTTAAAAGCATACGAATGGCCACTTTGAGTAGGCCCATCTAACCAAGGGTCCTGGCTCTGTTGATGGCTTGGAGCCAGTATTTAGGGAAGAGGATAAGAACAGGGGAAACTTACATTTTTTAAAAAAATTAAACAGTAAACCTTTTTTTTTTTCTGTCCATCAACCTGTGCAGGCCAATCCACTGCGCAGCGCTCATAACCATTATTTCTTCCAGCTGTCATAGCTAACCTTCCTGAGAGAAGTGGTGACTGTTGGGATATATAGTGATAGCTATATAACTGTTTCTGGCTTTTCCCTTTAATTGATCTAATGGGTCTCCCTTTGACATAGGAACTAGCATGTGGGAAGATGAGCTCTGAGCAGTGCTGGAACAGAGGCACGCTCTCCCTCTCCTGTTGTGGTGAACCTCACTCCACTGAAGTCAGTGGCAAAATACTCTTGACACCGGGATCTCACTTTCTGAGAGTTTCACTGCTTAATTGTTCCCTTCAGTCTGGAGCAAGAGTCATCCGCACCAGAGATATCCAGTTCTTCCAAGAGTGCTCATACCTGCTAACTCTGGTCCCTCAGATGCCCTTCCCCGAGGGAAACTGTACCTGTGTGACTGTGAGCCTCTTGAGACACATTCTTGGTGCAATAAACTTGGTTTACTTTTTAATGTTGCATCATTTCTTTCAGATAAACATCACTTTGCAATTAAGTGAGCTGAAAAGCTGCATAATTACAAATTAAATCATGCATACACTCACACTGGAGGCTGCTCTGCCCATGAAAAGAGCAGGACACCCAAGGCTGGGTTCCCCCACCAGGAGACTCCCACTAGCAAACTAACACTGTAGAAGAGGTGAACACAGCAAATACAGAGCTACATCAGCAATTTCTGCATCATGCAGGGCACAGAACACTATAGCCTCTATAGCCAGCAAAGGCTGTGCACCTCAGAGCAGGTATAAGCTCAGAGCAAAAGAAATTCAGTAACTGAGAATATGCTCTACTCCTAGCCTGTGCTGGCCCTTCAGTGTGCAGGGAGCCCAGCAGGCCTGGATCACCTCCTGCAGGGACAATGGGACTGTATCCGCTGCTTCCACTAAGGGCTGGATGAGGATTTGGGTGAGCTGCAACTCTGCAGAAGTCTTAGCTTCTGTCCATTGGTACTTTCCAAGATCTTGCAACTTGCTTAAGGACAAGCATTTGAACAGGCTCCAGCAGTGTAGTGCCAGGCTGCAGAGACAGATTAATTTTCTTGCTTTTAAAAATGCTCCCCACACCTAAGAAATTCCTTGCAAAACAACAAGGACACAAGACCTGCAGCTGATACTGTTCAGCGGAGGTCATTTCAAGTGCACTTCTCTGCATGTCCGAAGGACCAGTCTTCATAACGCTGATTTTACTATACAATCTTTCTCTTTGCAGCTATATTTATTCTCACCACATCTCTTCTCAAGGATAAGCTGCAAAATGCATGGCGAGAATGATCTGCTGCCATTTGCATTATATATTCCTGCTTAATCCTCCTGAAAGCAGAAATATGTAGGTCAAAATTAAGGTTGCAGACTGTGTGTCCTCCAAAAACACAGAGGATCCTGATTGTGTGTTAGACCCTGTACAAACATAGAAGGAAGAACAGGTCTTTCCTCAGACTGCACCCAGTCTAAAGCCTCGCATTTGTTTTCCTTTGAGAAGAATAAGATATTTTTGCGACTCACAAGTAGACCAGGTGCTTCTAAGCCCTAAAGTTTTTGTGACCTTGCTTTTGTGGGAGGGCAATTGCCTTCGCTATCAAGAGGAAGTGTTTGGGCTTTGGGAATACTACCTGTACTGAAGTATCTCATTTCTTTCCCTTATAGATGATTCACCCATATATCAATATCAATATGTGATTCAAAACTAAAAGAAATTGTAGTGCTGACTGCAGTTGAACTGGCAGCTGTGGAAACGGGCACCGCCAATACAACTGCGCATAGGCTTCCTCCTGCTTGGATTTCCTAAACATCTCTAGGCTTGGAGGACTCTTCAGTTTGTCACTGCAACAACTTTGCCATTGCAGATAGCTCCTTTGGACAGTAGCAGTCACAGAAACATTAAGGCAAATGATTCATGTGTGTTTAACCATCTCAGTCTCTTCTAAGCAGAGCTGGACGGACACAAAGATCAAAATGCCAGGGCTCTGTCATCGTGCCATGTTTGCCCATCTTTAGAGAGAGAGAGAGAGAGAGAGAGAGAGAGAATTTCTGACTAGATAATGGAGAAAAAATAGCTCTGCTTTTGGGCACATGAGCCCTTCCTCAGGTCTGAAATAGAAACAGAATTCAAAGTTAAACTGAGAACAGTTGCTCTGAGGTTGATTTAATTATGTGAATCTGTTAAGCCATTTGAGGGAAAATACTCAGTGCTGTGGAGCAAAGCTGGGTTATGAGTACAAAAGAGATACAAGCTCCTTGGCCTAAAAATTTGCCTCCCTGATGTCCTCCCAGCATTACGGTGACAACAACAGCACTTGTGCACTGCTGCTGCTGCTTCACATAGACCTGTGTGGGCTTAGTCCAAAGTGCAGGATCTTGACAAAGAGCTCAAGGGAGTCATGGCCTTAGACTAACCAGAATGCCAGCTGAACAACTGGTTTTTGTAAGCAAATCTTTCTCTGAAATAGCTAATCCTCAGCAGGCACAGGTTTCTACAGCTCCTGTGATTTATAAGGTGTTTTTAATGGAAATGTTCTAAATAGATCCATGACTCAGGCCTGTTACTTCCTTGGAAACAATTGCCTACAGAAGCAGGGTGTTTCCAACGGCTGACAAAGAAGATGACCAGCACTGGAGATCAAATCCAACCAAACACACCACCTGGTCAAAAAGGCTTTAAGCACCTGAAACCCCCCTACTGCAATATGATGCAGTGGCTGAAGAGCCCTGGGAACCTGGCAGGTCAGGAGATCTCCAGCATCAAAATGGTGGTAACGAAAGCATAATTTACTAGTGAGGGGGAGGACGTAGGAAGAGGAGGAAGATGTCGCAGAATCTAGACAACCGTTCCTCTGTATGTACAGAAAAGCTTGCTCTTTCCAGAGCCAAAGGAGGGGGCAGCAAGCCAAAACTTGAAAGAAGCTAAGAACACGTCAGCCCTATTCCTGGAAAAAAGACGTCATTTACCGGTGTCACAGTACCCTGTTGACAGTGCCCCAAGAGCATTGGGAGGCCACAAGGCTTTTGTCTTGCTCTTTGGTAAGTCTCAGACCAGACCCAAAGCAAGAGCCCGATTCTCCAGGAATAATCAGAGATGTCACCTCTGACAGGCTGTGTCCCAGGCTAGATATATCCAGGGAAGATAAAAGAAGCTCTTGGCAAGGGCTTGTCCTTCTAAATCTTCCCCTTCACCTTCTCCCAAATCCACACATAGAGCTGTGGGGCAATGAAGCCATTTTCTGGGTAGTGGGTATGTGCTGAGCTTGTTGTAGCAGACATTAGAGCAGCACTCACAGTCCTGTAACATGGCGCAGGCTCTTCCATCCCTTTCTCCTCAAGAGCTCTCCTGAGAGCCTGTCTGGGGGTGTTCGCTCATATAAGATGGAAGATCTAAGCCCGTCTCTCACTGCCTTTTCTGAAGATTGCCCTTACTTTTCCTCCTCGCAGGGACGGCAGTCTCAGGAGCCTGTGAAAGAGCCTAGCTCCATCCTAGCGCCAGAAGGCACCTCTCCAAATTACAGCCCTCATCTGCAAGGAATAAGGTCATGGGGAGACCTTAAGGAGCAGAGCCAGGGAGCAGAGAGATGGGTTGGTCCAGCAGGAGGGACCTTGCAGCTGGGGCTGGGACGCTGGGGAGGGCTGTGCTGGGAGCAGAGTTTGCAGATACATGCAGTGTTGAGGGATGGGGCCAGCCAGCACTCGGACTAGGGTTCTCAAATACTCACACGGGTATCGGAAGTAGAAATCATTCTCCATGTCACTGGTCACATTCATCTCTTGCTTCTCTTCCTCCCAGTGTGCATCAGCTTCGGGGCCGAAGCGCACAAAGACCCCGAAAAGGATGATCATAGCCACCTCCCAGAGAAGGCATGTGAGTGGGAGCCGCCAGCGCATGTACGTGTTCTTTGCCATCCCCTGGTGCCTTGGCCGCTCCATGTGCAGAGATCCCCAGGGGCGCAGCAGAATGCGTGAGCCCGCGTCCCCCGTGCCCACAGGAGGCAGGCGACACAAATAAGTACGAGAGTGCAAGGTGGGGCTCAGGGAGGTGCCTCTGCAGGATCACGTTTCAGAGTGCAGAAGGTTTGACAGAGTTGCTCTTGCCTTCCTTCCTCCCCAGGAGGAGGGCCAGGTCTCCAGCACCTTTCCTCTGAGCTGCTCCAAACACCTCTGAGCCCTGCCTCTGAGGGTGACTGCAAGAGGCGTGAGGTCGGTGCCTAGCAGGGAGTGGAGTCCAGGCATCCTGCCTCCTGTTATGCCCTGCCCCACACCCCTTCCTTTCCCCTTGCAGGATCAGGACTGGACGTAGGAGTCCTGATCCTCAGCTCCTGCTGCCCTGCCCTCCTTCCCTTCCTACAATGGATCTAGCTCTGCAAACATCCTTTCCCAGCTGCTACTGAGGATGAAGGCAGGGTGTCCCTCACCCTCGCCCAGACATCAGCTGCCCTATTTTCCCCTCACAAGTTCCTCCTGTCGCATGGGGCAGAATAGCAGCCCCGGGAGGCCCTTCTCCCCGTGGGTGGGGAAGGG